AGATAGTAATGTATTCGATCATATGACAATCTATATTTTTATTTTAATGATCACTTTGTTGAAAATGTCTTAACCAATTCTGCAGTTACCTGTCATTTAAAAAGAATTAGTCTATAGACAGAATTTTATTATTACAGTGAGTGATAAAATTTATAGCCGAGTCGTTTCGTTAATAGTAAAACAAAATTTATAAGATACATGCATAAATTCATAAATGGCAGATCAACTATTAATGCATTTAGACAATAAGTGAACATGGATCAGCAAAGATTAGCGATCCTTTAGTCCACATACATTTTTAAGGAAGAACGCAATGTAGGAATAAAAAGAGCCCAAAATATTTATGTCAAACTAGGTATTGCAAGGTTGTCAATAGTGTAATTGATTTTTTCATTAGCTTCTGATCAAATTTACCAGTGGAATCAAGAACGAGTGAAGTCGTAATATTAATAAAAGTAATAGTCGATTTGTTACAATTGAATAGCCTACATATAAGGCCGTAGAGATTTAGACGGAAATTCAAAGGAACAAATTCGTGCTCTCAGTTGATTTAGTTCACACTTAAAGAATGAGTACGATTTGGACGAAATCATACATTGTTGCCACAAATCAATCTAGTTAAAGCGTTATTAGTTCTTGTAGCATCTTTTGATATCTTCAATTTTAGTGATCCTTTTGTCATAAGTAAAATATTAATCAGTGGGATGACTTGTTAAGCATCCCGATAGTGGCACCCTTACTAAAATGGATGTGCAGAATATACTATGTAGTAGATATTAATAGGACTTCTTATAGAGCATGAAATTTAATTATGTCAATCAAACTTAAAATTATTACCCAGTGATACTAAAATGTAGATTAAAATATTTATTAGTAAAAATCAAAATATGAAAAAAAAGCACCCACTTCTTGATTTGCTTTAAGGCCGCCTGGAAGCTCTTGCTGTTCTCTATCCAGAAGTGACTGTTTTGCGGATTCGGGGATGTCTCGAGTGCGGTAAAAACATTTTACAACAACAGAACATTTTTCGCGTCGAGAAAGCTTAATCTCTTCTATGAGTCCTATCGTAAAGTATTCGAAGTCAGGTTCCTCGTAGTAGACGAAGTCTCCTAGATGATCAAAATTAAATAAGCATTTGAGTAAACAAAACCGAACCTTTATCCAACAAAAAATAACAAGGGATATTAAGCTATCAGTATAAATGAAGCTATTAGATAGTGGATACGAGGATCAAGGTGATGTGGTCTGTCT